GAGAAGAGGTTTGCTCTCTCAACGGCTTGATCGTTATATGGGAAATAGCTTCTTATTAAATCACTTTCCCATCATTCAATTTCAACATTTAAACTCTGCCTCCTCTGATCATAAACCTATAATGTTAACTTTAGCTTTCAATGACAAACCTATTATATCTCGTTTCAAATTCTTTAACATTTGGACTACTCCTGAGTCTTTTTTGAGCTTGGTGCAACAAACTTGGAAGATTGATATGGTTGGCTCTCCTTAGTACATTTTATGGCAACTTCACAAAAAAGCCGTTGCCCATCTACGAAAGTGGAATTTTAAAGTTTTGAGAATGTTCATCAAAAGGTTTCTGAGGCACAGAGTATTCTTGATCAAATGGAGGCACAAGATACTTGTACCCCTGGTTGGGTTGATTATATGGCTAAAGCTCAGTCGAATCCCCTCACGGCTATCAATTTGGAGGAGGACCTACTACAACAAAAAGCTAATGACTTATTATTTATAGCTGAAGATCTTAATACTAATTATTTTCATGCTACTCTTAAACACAGGAGGAACATCAACAACATTTTGAGAATCAAAAGTATGGAGGGGGACATAATCACTAATACAGATGTTATTGGTGAAGATGGTGTAAGACATTTCACTTCTCTCTTTCAATCAACTGTGGACACACTCCCTTTTGACTTTACTCTATTTCAGGATGATAAGGAGTTTGTTAATTCCCTTACTCTATCACATATACCTGATGAGGTTGAGATATACTCTGTTTTTCAATCAAATAATCCAAACAAAGCCCCTGGCCCTGATGGTTTTTCCTCCACTTTCTATTTACACTACTGGAATATCATAAAGAGAGAAGTTATTTTAGCCATTCAAAGCTTCTTCTGTGGTGAAAATCCTGGGAGTTATTTTACCTCTGCCACTATTGTACTCATTCCTAAAACCAATGACAAATTAACTTAGGAAAATTTCCGTCCCATCTCTCTTACTTCTGTTATTTCCAAAGTTATAAGCAGAATACTTGTCACTAGACTACAACAACATCTTCCCCAACTCATAGTCCCACAACAATCTGCTTTCATTAAAGGTAGAGAGATCACTGATAATATTTTGCTGTCTCAGGAACTAATTGAAGATCTGGATAAAAAATGCAGATGAGGGAATATGGTCATAAAACTTGACATAAAAAAAGCTTTTGGTACTACAAAGCTGGGAATTCATTCTAAATGTTATGACCACTAGAGGTTTCAAGAGAGATTTTTGTTTACTTATCAAAAGGTGGCTGGAGACCAATCATTATAGCGCGCTTGCTAATGGCAAAACTTATGGTTTTTTTTGCCTTAAGGGGCATAAAGAAGGGGGATCCGCTATCCCCAACCATTTTCATTCTTACACTGGATTATTTTTCTCGACTCATCAACTGAACTCAAATTCAACATGCATGCACACTTTACTCACACAAGTCTAAAATCGTAGTTAGCCACTTTGCCTATGCTGATGATGTCATTATCTTCTCCAACGCTAGTAAGAATGCGATTAAGGGTATTATGAATATCCTTGAAGATTTTCAGAATTCCTCTGGTCTTCTTTTCAATAGATCTAAATGCTCCCTTTATTTTGGCAAATATGTCTCCACTCATATTAAAAATTGGGCCACCAATTACACTGGCTATATATGTGCTAAGCTCGCTATAAAATATCTTGGTGTTAATATTCTTAGGGGAAGGAGGAAACAAAATCAATTTGATGAGGTGGAAGATAAGATTAAATCAAGGATTATGTATTGTAGAAACATATTTTTATCTAATGGTGGTCGCCTCACCTTGCTCAAAAGTGTGCTTTGTAGTTTGCCTCTATATGTTTGCAGGTTATTAAGGCTAAAAAAGCACATTGAGAAACCTTGAAATTCTTTTTAACAAAATTTTCTGGGTTGGAGATGGCATAGGCAAAATCTGGGCAGATTGGGCAAAGGTCTCTATGCCTAAATTCTCCAAAAGCTTAAGTTTCAAAACTTTACAGCAAATTGTTGCCATTAATATGTGCAAGCTTTGGTTTAAATTTCGTACTGAGGAATCCCTTTGGGCTAAATTCTTATATCATAAATACTGTCAGAACCCATCCATCGACTGCGGCTTGGGAAACATGTGACTCTAAATTATGGAAGGCCATTATTGCTGCTAGAAATGTTGCTTCTAAGTTTATTTTTTTGGAAGTTGGTGATGGGAAAATCCATTTTGGCACAACCATTGGGGCACCTCTGATATTACTGCCTTTCCTCATTTAGACACTAACTCAAATATTTATATCTCTGACGTTTGTAATAGTGGAATTTGGAATATTGATTTATTAAAGACCTTGGTGGGAGATTTAGTTATTTCTGTTGCTACTACGCCTGTAAACACTAGTAAGACATATAAACCTCGGTGGAAATTCATCTCAAAGGAATCTGCTACTAAAATGCTATATAAAAATTCTTATAGCTATCCTAAATGGAAATAGAGCTCTTTCATATGGCACCCTCTAATCTCTCCTTTTACATCCTTTTTTTCTCTGGAGATACTTTCACTCTATTTTTTCCCTTGATGATATCCTAAATTTAAAGGGGTTAAAATTAGCCTCTATTTGCTGCATTTGCAAGGGAGAAGCTGAATCATCCAATCATTTGTTTTTTGAATGTTGTTTTGAAAAAAATTGAAAAAAAAATTTGGAGAGATGTGGGTGCTTTACTTGGTGTGCACTAGCGTTCTATCTTTAGGCTGGAAAATTTTGTTGAAGCCTGGAAGATGTCATCTCTTTCCATCCTAAGATGGTTTATTTTCTTTAATGGTACTTTGGTTTATCTGGATTGCTAGAAATGATTATAAGCATCACTCTCCCCCCCCCCCCCCCCCACTCCCCCTCCCCCCTGTCTCTTTTATCATGAAAAATTTCTATAAAGCTATTAGAGCAACTAATAACGTCATTGCTTCCTCAAACTGGATTGGTAAGAAGAGGCCCGCCTTGGTTAAATGGTCATCACCTTTATCTGGATGGATGAAGGCTAATATTGACGCTAGTTGATCCAAAACTACTGCTTCTGCTGGTGGTGTGTTTAGAGATAATTATGGTAGGTGCTGCATCTTTTTCGCCTCACCAATTATTGCCTCCACACCTCTTGAAGCTGAATGCTACGCCGTGCTATTGGCTTTAAAAGTTATCGCTTCTTTAAATTTCAAAGAAGTCATTATTGAGACTGATTCACAATGTCTGTATAATATCCTTATCAACAAGTCGGAGCCGGTTTGAAATATTATTTGCTGGCTACAACATATAAAATATGAGATCACCAAAAATCAACTTCAAATTTTCTTTAATTTCATACATCGGGAAAAAAATGTTCCT